GGAAGTGAGGGCTCAACATAGGGCACTGATGGTCTACTCTTCAAGGCATCTGACAGCCTTTTAACCACAGTTAATCCTCAGTTGAGAAACACATAAAGCACTAAATAAAATCTGTGTGGCTGGCACCTGTCTTAATTATTCTGGGTCATGCTGTTAAATATTTTCGTATCTGAAATGCTGCCAGCCATTGGCCTGGTATTGCACCTGTTGGTCAGGACTATCTCCCCGTCAAGGGCTCTAGAATTTAATGGTCTACTAAAAGGACTCAAAGGCCCTGTATAGAATGGGAGGAAGAGGAGAAATAGTGGGGGGACCTGTCCATCAACTCATGAAAATAAAGTGGACTGTCAGTCAGTTATCTGCACTTCTGTAATTCTTTACTAACACTTGGGATATGTTCATAGAGGAACCAACGAAGAACAAATGTTGTTAGGGAATGGCAAAGGATGCAAAATCACCCAAAACACTACATTTAGGTTCAAATCCTGGTCCCTCTTTAATTTTCTGACCTTGGAGAAGACATTAACTTTCCTGAGTCCTTGTTTCATCACCTATAACGTGGAATCCAGACTCTTTGCCTCACTCAGCTATTGTAAGAATTAAATGATATGCGACATGTCAAAATATCTTTATAAGACACACTAGTGATCAAAAATGTGCTTATTGAATTTGGGTCTATTCAATACAGTACACAGAGTTTATATTTCTAGACTTGCAATTTAGAAAAAATAGAAATTTTAAAGGGCAGACAAAAATCACAAAAGGTTCAGATAGAAACCTAAAGTGTACCAACTACACATGATATAGTGCTAACATATACTAATAAAAGTAAATACATTTTAAAAAAGGAAATTAACCTTAGTTGAATTCCTGGCACCAATAAATAAATAAATAATGTCAATTCACAGAAAGGAAAACGAACTCAGCCATTTAAGCTCTCATCTTCTAAGATAATAGAACAAGAAGAGGGAGAGAGTTAATGTGAAGGACCAAGAGCTTCAGTTAAATAAGAATTTTAAAGAGTGCATTATTAAAAAGTCAGCAAAAATACATGAGATTAGGTAGGTTCTGGAACAGACCCATTATACCAGTGTATAATAGTGATATTACCTTACCTGATGTCTAAGCAATTTCTGAAATCTGTCCTAGGCTGAAAACTTCATGGAGATACAGAAAAAGCTGGAAATTGGGAACCTAAAGTCCTCTGGGGCTCCCTCATACCACTCTGATTCCACACAGCTTAGAACAGGCACTTGAGGGTTTGTGACCTCAATTTCCTTACTTGCAAAATTAGAGGGTACGAATCTCTCACAGTTATAAAAAATGATTCTAGTTTAATATGGTTTATGGCTGCCACACAAGGCAGAACACAAAGGTGAGCCTTGGGGATGCTTCAGTGATTATATGCAGTGGGCAGAGAGGAGGTCCAATGGCATCATTACAATGTGGTAAAATTACTACTTTGATGTAGTAAGTAGTACACTAAGTGATTTTACATATTTTAAAGAGCTTGACAAGATATTTATAATCAGGGAACTATCTACCATCTAGGTCACTTATAAGTAAGTGGAAGTACAATTAAAGAACAATTAAACATTCTAATGTACAGTACCAAACACCATCTTTGCTTTTTGAAGAAAACAGTATAGATAGTTTCAATGTTTTTCTTATGAGATAAAAATATTTATGTTTTCAGAGTATATGGAAATTAATGAGACAAATGCTAAAGTAGAGGAGCTGATCAAAAATTTTTTAAAAATTACAGTACACATTGCCACTAATCCACTTCACAACACTTCATTGCTTCAACACTTATTTCCTTATTTGTGCCACTTTCGGAGGCAGTTCTGGAAGTTTTCTTTCATGGGTATCTCTTAAGTGTGGTCAAAAGTTGGTGAATGCTGCGGAACTGCCATCCAAAAGAAAGGCAGGCTTGCAAAATAGTACAGTGTTTCCCACCTTATTCACCAGATCTGACACAGCGCAACTTCAGACCATAAAAGGTAAACATTTTAAATGGGTTCCGAACATCGAGGCAGCCACAGCAGTGCAACTGAAGACAGTCCTTAAGACAGACTTCTAGAACTGCATATGAAAGTGGCAAAACTGATGGGGTACCTGGAGTTAAAGCCAAGGGGAGTATTCTGAAAGGGACTAATAGCAATATGTTTTTTACTAACAAGTATTTATAGTTTGAACATCCACTGTATTTTCAATCACACTGTGTATTTAGGTTATAAAGGGATATTTAAATTCATTCTTATAATCATGTATTCTAGATAAAGACAAGATTTTGACTCACCTCTTAAAAGTTTATCAGCAGAGGATCTGATATTTTCACATAAAAATCAACTCACTTGTTATGGTTTTAATCTAACCTCATGCACTCGTGGGGTGAGTGGAACTATTATAGGGGTGTTATAACTGGTTTGCTTTAGGGAGGTTTGCTGGTGTCACTGGAGGCATAAATTGGAAAGCTTTATCTCCCTTCCTGGCCTTCCCCTTCTACCTCTGCTTCCTGTCTATCATGAGGTGAGCAGCTTACCTCCGATCAGGCCTTTCTACCATATCCTTCTGCCTTAGGGCCAAACATGAAAGCACTGAACTTCTGAAATGTGAGCTCCCATAAAGCTCTTCTCCTGTAAGTTTTAGGTATCAGATATTTTGTCCCAGCAAGAAAGGAAGTAACTAAGACATCACTGATGCTCACCTTCTCCTAACAAAACCATCCTTCAAGTCAGTAAAGGCCTGTTCATTGGTCTTGCCACTTGCTGAGGCAGGCACTGTCTTACAACTTTTGTTTCTGTCTTTTCTTCCCCCCCCCCCCCCCCCGGTTTCATCAATCAATCTTAGCTATGCAAATTCTGCCTAACCAAAGCAGGAAATTCTTCCTGCTTTGTTACACAGATCACCAAGATTAAGCAGGTGTGTATGCATGTGTGTGAGAGAAGTAAAGAAGCACACTGTAACAAACACTTATGTAACAGTTACCTGTGTAACTGTATTATCTTGGACTGACCCAAGGACCCAGTATCAATTGTATAATGTATACCCCTGGTACCTATTCACAAATAGAACAGTAAGACAGCTGAAGACAATTAACCTTTTTGAGTTTACAGTATCTCTAATTATCACTGCTTCTATAGCCTAAAAGAGAAAATTCATTAAATGCAAAGTTGCAAACTTTGCCTGTTGTTAAATCTTAAATTAAAAACTCAACTCACTAAGTGGAATAATTTTTTAACACCAAGTAGAATCATTTTATGAAATATGACAGAAGACTTAGTCACTGAAACATGCTTATTTTCTCAAAGAAACTTAGACGACAGGCAAAACATTTATGAACAATATGAGACTCTGGCTATCTTCTTTATATGCAAACTAAATTCAACTTCCAATCTCATGTTCTGGTATTGAAAAATAAAATCATTTAGTTTTTGGAACGCTTTCCTTAAAATCAACAAAACCAAGAATTTACATTGATGTAAGCATCTGACTTTTTCATACCATTAACTTTAGAAATATAAGTATTATATTTTGATAAAAAAAATACATGTCCCTTACTCTCTTTGAAAGAAAGCTAAAAACTTTGTGCAGAAAAAGGCTTTGTTTGAAACACTTTCTTTGTAGTATCAAATTCACTAACAGCCAGAAGGCTCAGTGCATGTGAAATAAATATTAATAGGAGTATACTCATTGCTTACTAGATGAAAGAGTTGCAGCAAATGATATATTTTAAAACTCGTTAAGAAGCCAGGCATGGCAGTATACGCCTGTAATCCCAGCGCTCAGGAGACTAAGGCAGGAGAATCACTGTGAGTTGGAGGCCAGCCTGGTCTTTATTATAAAGTGAGTTCAAGGCCAGCCTGAACTACATAGTGAAACCCTGTCTCAAAAAAAAAAAGACAATAAATAGATAAATAAATAAATCTATCTTATTAAGAATAAATCATGGTAATTACTCTCAAAAACTTTTCATCTAGCCAGGTACGATGGCAGACACCTGTAACTCCAGCACTTTGGGAGGCTAAAGCAGGATGATACAAGTTTTAGCCCAACCTGGGCAACATAGTGCCTTAGTGCGACCCTATTTCAAAATACGAAATAAATAAAGGACTAGGGATAAAGTTCAGTGGAAAGGTACTGGGTTCAATACCTGATATGGGGAAGTGAGCAGGCAGCTCTAATCTAGCAGTCAAGAAATAGCAGGCTTCAAGACTATATGATCAAGGTAATCCAGTGATCAGTAAATGGCATCTTTTTGATGCTGTAAGAAGTATTTTTACTTATGGATACATAATAAAGTTCTATAAAACTGATTTAATAACTGATTATTTCACCCTTGAGAATGTGCACAAATGTCAACATGACCGTGAACAAGAAAACACAACATCTGGGTGACCATGACCACCACTGATATTTTTTTTTCTTTTTCTTTTTTTTGTCTTTTTCCTTTTTATCGGTACCAAGGATCAAACTCACGACTGCCTGCTTGCAAAGTGCAGGCACTTATGCTGTTGAGCTAAATCCCCAGCCCCCAACCACCACTGATTTTTGGTTTGCTTTTGTGGTACTGGGGATGAAAGCCAGGGCCTTCACATCACACTGCGCTACACCCCTCCAGCACTTTGCCCTCTAAGACAAGGTCTTGTTAAGACACTGGGACCAAATACCCAACACCCCAAAACCTATGGAAGAGGTTTACTCTGGCTCACATTTTAGGAGGTTCAGTCCTTGCACTCCTGCCTCCACACCAGTAAGAGGCTGGCTCAAAATTGCTACTAACCCTCCTGCCTCAGCCTCCCACAGTACTGAAATTACTGCTATGTCATCACACCCAATTTTATTTCCTTTTCCAATAGTCTTTCATAGCTCCATTTCACTTCAGTGTAAGTAACTATCTGTGAGCTTTACTCCTTTCAGCAATGTGAGAAGCACGCTACAGTAAGAAGATAATTCTTACCAACACTGTATGAGTGGAGGACAGACCACACAATTACCTGACAGGCAATCTGCACGAGGTAGACCAGCTCTTTAGGGTCACAGCCATTTTTCATTACTTCGTTCTGCTCTTCGGAAAGTGAAAGCTATGTCACAGAAAAAAAGGGAAAGAGAGGGACATAGAGACATGAGTCAGGAGCAAGAATAAACCCAACGCCTGGACTCTCACATCAACTAAACGTAAGACGGGCCTCTACAGTTTTATGACATAAAGCAGAAAACCAAAGAATTCTGGACTTTAATAAACAGCACAGTTCCAAGAACTGTCTTGGTACCTTAGGTCCAATTTGGCACGGCCTCATTTTATTCAGTGCACGTGTTAAGAGCAGGCCCTAAACCCGCACTGAAGGACGGTAACACTTAACAGCTTACGGGAGCAAGGACTCCATTATGGGCACTGCAAACCGGCCTTCCAGAAAACAGACGGGGCCTGCAGACCTGTCTGACTTCACACTCACTCTGCAGGCCTGCTCACTGGCTTTTATTCAATTTGCATTTACATGAGCATCCAACCTGTGGGAGGTTAGAGGCCATATATATTTTGCATTTTATTGAAAAACTAGGAAGTTGGGAACCCTAGGCCCGCATTTTCTAACATGAGCAACAATAGCTGATTAGTGACCATCATCTTTTTAAAAAAGAAAAAAATTTTAAGACAGGGTCTCTGTAAGTAGTCCAGGCTGGCCTTGAACTCACTATGTAGCCTAGGCTGGCCTCGAACTCACTATGTAGCCTAGGCTGGCCTCAAACTCACAGCAATCCTCCTGCCTCAGCCTCTCAAGTGCTGGGATTACAAGCTTATGCCACCAGGCCTGACTTTAAAAAAAATTTTGGTATATATTTGCAGTACATGATTATATTCCCCATTATTATATGTACATAAGATATACTGTTTTTATTTCTCCTTCGCTTTCCCTCCTCACCCTTCCCTGCACTTCCTGGCCTCCTCCTATTTTGAAAAAGATCTATCTCCCTATTTCCTATTATTTTTTATTTTGCTCTTCATTTTTAAGTTTGTGAGTCTGATTTATTTTACTTAACACTACAGTCATGAGGTACATCTGTTTTTCCTATAAATAGCTCATTTATCCTTCTTTATGTCAGACTAGTATTCCACTGTGAATAAATACTACATTTTCTTTTTCCATTCATCTGTTCTTGGGCATATAGGCTGCTTCCAAGATTTAGCTGTTATGAGTTTGTGCTGCTGTAAACATGATTAAGTATACATCACTGTACTATGACATATTTATCTTCCAGGATAACAACCAGAAGGAGAACAGCAGAGTCAAGTAGAATTTCTATCTTTAGTTTTTGAGCAATTGCCACACAGACTTCCACAGCAGTTGTACCAGTTTACATTTCATCAACAGTGTACGAGGGGTCCTTTCTCCTCACAGTCTTGCCAGTGGTTGCTATTATTTGATTTTTGTTGACGACCATTGTTATCTAGGGTAAAGTGGAACCTCAGTGTTGTCTTAATTTGCATTTCTCTAGCGGTCAGAGATGCTGAACACTGTTTCACATATTTACTGACCAACTGTAGTTCTTGTCTGGGGGGCGTTGTTTTTGTTTTGGGGGGAAGGAGAAGTTACTGTGAATGGAGCTCAGGACCTTGCACTTGCCAGGCAGGCACTGTGCCACTGAACTATATCCCAGCCCCATGGGCCTCTTCCTCTAAGACATGGATACTCATTTTGGTTGCCCATGTTATGAGCAGGTGATCATCACTTTTAAATGAGGCACACAGTCTCCAATGGACTTTGCAACAGAATGGATACTCTTCACTTTGTGCCAGTACCTAGCTGAGTACTAACTCTCTCGTTCCATCATGCTGCTTGGATTGTCACCTTTCTTATACTCCATTTGTTTTACTCACGTATATTATATATATGTCCCTTCTTTTAATTCAAACTTGCATAGAAAGTTCAAAGAGGGGCAACCCTGAGTTCAGAAGCAACAATGACTCAGCATGTAATACTGACCAACCTGTTTAGTTTCTCAAACAAAAACATGGGAATGATGTAACTCCACCCCTTCTTTATGAGTACTGAATATGGTGGAGCACAGAGAATACTGACCAAAGTGTCTGGTACTCAGGAAACACTTAATAGTGTAATACAATATATTACACATTTAATACTGAAAGAAAAACAAGGCTGATGAGGATATATTCTGTAGTTAGAGGAACAATGTCTGTGGAAGTTATTTTTTTAAGATTTCCAGCACTAAGTAGAAGTAGTTCACAGACTAACATCATTTTCATATTAATCAAAATAAACTACATGCACTACAAAAAATCAGAACTTAAATAATTTAGAGTAAAAAGAAACCTAAAAATGACAGTTTCAAAAAGTGACAAGACTTTCCTGAGACAGAAAAGACTGAGGAGCCCTAAGGTGAGCAAAGGATGAGCATCTGGCTGCGACAGGAGGAGGAGAAGCCAACTGGAATCTGACTACACACAGTCTGTAGTGGCAAAGTAGCATTATAAGGTGCAAGGTCAATGCCTACCCATCAACAGATCCCCTGAGATTCACCACCGGTACTGCCAGGGCTAGTGCATCAAATGCCAAGGAAGAGCAGAGTATGGAGAGAGGAACCCCTGAATAGTAGAGTGGCCCCCAAGCCAAAGCAGCTCGCCTCCATAGTCTGGGAGCAGGAAGAAGAACCGAGGTATAAGCCTCAAAGTGCTCAGGACCATGCTGAAGACAAGGAGGCACAGAAAAGCTGAGAAAACACCCAGGAAGACACTGCAGACCTTCGCAGGTGGCAACCCAGCTGAGGGAAGAACTGGAGGGCACGAGAAGCAGCAGCCACACTGCATCAAGTACAGGGCACATGTGTCCCTCAGGCAGCAGACTATTTCACAGGGAAGCCCAGAGATCTTCAGCCCCTAGCCAGTCTTAAATATTCCATTAAAGAAACCTCTAGGCCCAAGCTCCAAAGTATTTAAATGTATTTAAAGCTGCCACAAACAAGAGATCATGAGCAAAGACAGATCAGCTTGGTCTGTATGAAGATGAGTTTTCAGAAAGTGATGCGACTTCTGTTGAGACACAAGAGTCATGCGTACTCTGCATGATACCCTGGTAGTGATTGATGCCAGCTCAAGACCTGTTAGTCCAAAGACAGGTGAAGGGACTAAGCCCCTTCCCAAAAGAAATACCATATATCAGCTTCAACAACTTTTATATAACATATTTGTAAAAAAATCTGCAAAACATGGAAGGAATGTGATCCAAGTCATGAGAGGAAACATAAAATAAAACTCCTAAAAATGAACCAGTAAGAGAATGTAAACTATGACAGATTCTGAAGCTTAGTTGACAAGGTAAACTGTATGCAGGAACACATGGGAAGGACAAGATTCTGGAAAACAGGCGGAGTGGGAGGCACACGAATGTGTCTCCCCACCTGGACAACAGTACACTGGCAGAATCTGTCTACTTTGGAACCCTGGTGTCTGTCAAAGGCTTACATCCTCCAGAGGAAAGCGTGGACAAGAACGCTGTGGCTCATTCTCATCACTCTCAGCTCCTCACACTCTACCAGCTCCCACAGCTCACACCAGAGTGTTCAAGGGCATCTTGTGCACAGCTGCTGCACATTCAGACTTCATCCACCTTAAAGAAGCCAGGGGATGCAAAAAGGACCCCGGCTCTAACCAGCAGGGAACCCCTATGACGACTGATCACCACTGCCCCAGTCACTGAGGGAGAGATGGGGCTGCTGTTGCTGCACCTCTCCCTAGTGTCCCAGGTCCATCTGCTCCACCTAAAATGACCTCCAAGGATTTCAGGGCTAAAGCCATTTCCCCTCCCCAGCTCTCTCATTCACTTCGCTCTTTCTATGTGAAAGACTAGGTGCACATGTAAAAGCAAGTGCGAATACATGGTATATCAGAAAGTGAAGCACACCCAGGGGTGTCATGCAGGCTCAAAAATTACCGAGGAAGACAGATTTACACCCTAGGCTGATCCCTAGTACTGATGCCACCTACAAGATTGGGTGGGGGGAGGAGTGGTGGCACAGACTTGTAGTAATCCCAGATTTTCCAGAGGCTGGAGCAAAAGGGGGTTGCAAATTTGAGGCCGTTTTGGGCAGTTTTAAGTCTCGAAATAAAAAATAAAAAGGACTTGGGATACAGCTCACTGGCAGAATGCTTGCCTAGAATGTGTAAGGCCCTAAGTTCAATGTATAGTACTACAAGACAATAAAAAATAAACAACAATAAATAGAAAAGCCCTGGAGAAGGGGGGTGGGAGCCTAACTCGCACGATCACCACACTATTAGATTAAAATGTTCATTTATCAAATAATAATAATAAACCACAAAGCTTATTTAAAAAGACTGGAAAGACTCAAAGTAAATGAATCAACAGAAGCTTTCTGAAAAAGACATTATAGCAGATATACTACACAGACAACAGTCTTCATACCGCTCAAAGAACTACAAGAATATGTGGGGGAAGTCAAGGAAACCATATACGAATGCATAACATTACCAATAAAGAGATAAAGATCCACAAAGAAACAAAAACATTTCATAGTTCCAAAGTACAATAATTCCAAAGAAAAATCCACTAGCTGGAGCCAATGGCATACTAGAGCAAGTAGAAAAAGCATCAGTGAACTTGAAAACACAGCAGTGAAAACAAAGTCTGTGGAATAGAAAGTAAAATTACTTAAAAAAAAAAAAAAAAAAGAAAGTAAAATTACTAAAAAAAAAAAAAAAAAAGAAAAAAGAAAGTAAAATTACTAAATAAAAATGAAAGAGCCTTATTGGATCCTGGGGATTTCAATCAGACAGACATGTCAGAGTCCCAAAGTAGGAGAGAGAAAAGGGGCAAAGGGGCCTGAAGGAAAAAAAAAAGCCAAAACCTTCCTAAATTTGATAAAATGGAAGAATATTTACAACCACGGTACAAATGAACAAGGTAAGGTGACCTCTATGAGATCCAGAAAACACAGAATAATCAAATTTGTAAATCTCCCCACACATACACACACACAGGAAAACGCAAAGGAGAGAACTCAACTCATCATAAAAGAGTAGTCCTCAATTATAAGCAACAACTTCCCA